CGCTTGCGTTCAAAACTTCTGCAAGAATAACGCCACTTGCCAAAGCGGTTTTACCGACAAAGGATACCGCTGTTTGTGTACTGCTGGATTCAAAGGTCAAAACTGTGACGAAGGTAAAGTTAGTAAAATAGTTAGTCAAAAGTTACAAATCAGTACAGGCAACTGTGGGCTCATAATGTAAACGATGGCCTCCATTTGCCTCAAAAATAAGCTCGCAAAATTCCCCGCATTTTTTTTGCAAATAAATATTTGAGCATATTTTCAAGCTAAATAACGGCTACTGTGTCTATTAATATTGATATACATTTCGAGGGTGTAGAACAAAACATTAACAAGCAGCTTGCGGTCCACCTTTAAGTTGAGATATATTGTTCGCTCTGCTATGAAAACAACAAAACACTATCCCATAATGGATCAACTTTCAGGAAAATACTACTGGAGAGGGACTTAGGTGCGAAAGATTGGAGTAAATATACACCAGTGGAATAATGCTGAATCGAGGAGGCTTCAAAGTAGACATTTTGCAACCAAAAAAGGAGTTGGTACGAACTGCGTTCAACGACTGCAGCCCTGAAAATTATACATGTTTAATGGTGATCCAAATTCAATCTCTTTCATACCGTGAGGTCCAAACACGACTATCATCCAGTAAGCATGCTTTGTGAGCTCCTCAGGCAACCATCTTCGCTATATAAAAAATTCATAAAAATATAATACAGCTTTATCGATTTATGCAAACATGCCTCATTCATACGCAAATTACTATTCTTATTCTGCTTATCACGGGCCTTCCTTTTCTTTGGTGTAACGAAATTTTCGAAATTCATAGACAACTTATCATGGCGGTTGGAGGCGCTCTATTAGTTCTTCAGCTTTATTTCATTTTATGCTCTTTTACTGTGCCCTCATGCTTTGGCACCGTTTCTAGTTTATTCGGTCTAAAAACTTGTGAAATCTCTACTGAGTTTGTCTGGCAACCAAGTGTAGTTATGCGACAAGAAGTTTTGATGAGGCTTGTTCGCATCGATTATTTGGTGAAGCAAAGTTGCAATTCAAAGGCTTCATCAATACATCATGGTATTTCTTTGAACAAGTATCTGATAACCACAACCCGTTTCCTATCTAACGATGTTGAAGTAAACCCTGGTCCTTCTATACACTTTTTTCAATCAGAAATGGAACAGTGATGGATGGTAATTTAAATTCTGCCGCCATTGACAGCCCATTGAAGCGTGTAAAGGGCCTTAAAATGGTTCATTTAAATGTCAGAAGTCTCCTGAGAAACATCGATGAACTTCGCCTTTACGTTTGTGCTAACGGCCCTGACATCATAACTTTATCCGAGTCTTGGCTAGATTGCTCGATTTTAAAGGAAAAAATTATCTTTGAAAATTATAGTTTGGAGCGTCATGACAGAAATAGAAATGGAGGTGGAACAGTAACTCACATTCATGAGCGCTTTTCATCCAATCGTACTTCATTATGCAATCAACTTGACATGGTTCTTTGTACTCTGAAATTACAACGTTCCTGTCCTCTTATAATTCGCAGTATTTATCGTCCACCAAGTGACTCCAGTTTCTATTCCAATTTCAAGAATCTCTTGGATAAAGTAGACTTCGTGAACTCACAATTATATCCGCTGGGAGACTTCAACTGTCCAATTAAATCAGCCTAGGGAAAGGAATTTATCAAATCTATGAGTGATATCGGTTTAAATCAAGTGATCAAAGAATATACTAGGGTCACATCAGCATCTTCTAGCCTGATTGATATGATTTTCACCAATTCTCATCATCGTGTTACAGAGTCAGGTCTAATTAAATTGTCCGTTAGTGACCATTACATGATATAATGCTATTATTGGTCCTGTAAACTGCCTAGATCTAAACCGAAGGTCCTGAAGGTACGCAGTTTTAAAAACTTTGACCCTTTGGCATTTGTTTCTGACCTCCGAAATTTACCCTGGGACATAATTTATTTATTTGATTCCCCGGAGGATGCTTGGTTTGCAATGCAAAATTTGCTAAAGGATATTAGCAACAAACATACCTCTTTGCGTTCTATCCGTGTACGTGGCTCGTAACCTCCCTGGATGAATGGTGAAATACGCCGGACGATGAAATCGCGCGATGCAATGAAACGCAAAGCCGTCAAGACGAAATCAGACAACGTCTGGAACGCTTTTAAACGTTTAAGGAACACTGTTTCAAGATTAATCGAGGAAGCCAAGCGTGATTATTTTAACAACTTATTAACTAATAACACTAAGGATACCTCGAACATATGGACTACTATAAAGAAATTGTTACTGAAAAAAAAGAAAGTGTCAGTTCAAGAAATCACTCTCGATAACATCAGTTACACAGGGAATGGCGACTATCCTTAACAAGCTTTTCACTACAGTGGTCGAACGTCTCAAGTCTACGCAACCCAATCAAGTCCATCTAAAGAATGTTTCCGATGCACCTAATTTGGTTTCAGTAAAGAACTTTGAATCTAAGGACATCTCAGTTGACTTTGTGCGTAAGGAATTATCTTCTTTGAAAGCTAACAAGTCTTCAGGCCTCAAAGATATTCATACTTGTTTTCTAAAAACTGGAGCTGACGTCATTGCCGCACCTTTAACTTACATCTTGAACTTGTCACTGTATTCTGCTATCATACGCTGGTCATGGATATCTGCCACAGTGACACCTCTTCATACAGATGGTTCTGTCTCTGATCCTAATAATTGCAGACCCATATTCGTCTTACCAGTGGTGACGATTTTCGAACAAGCAGTTCACAGTCAGATATATCAGCATTTATCATCAAACAAGCTGCTATCCTCCCATCAATCAGGCTTTAGACCTGGCCACTCTACGACGACTTGCCTCTTAGATGTATCTGATTTTATATTGAAGAATATGGATCAAGGCTGCCTTACTGGTGGTTTGTTCTTGGACTTGAGCAAGGCGTTCGATTTGATTGACCATTCCATCTTGAAAACTAAACTTGCTCACGTTGGTATAACTGGACACTCTTTACACTGGTTTGATAAGTTTCTGTCTGGTAGAACTCAGTCTGTCTGCGTCAATGAAACCACCTCTGAGCCCATGGATTTGAACTCTGGTGTACCACAAGGATCCGTTTTAGGACCATTGTTATTCGTTATCTTTATCAACGATCTTCCAAAGTGTGTCAAGCAAAGCAAGGTTGTTTTATATGCGGATGGCACAGCACTGTTCTTCGCCAACAAGAGATCATCGAGCGTGTTCTTCAAGAAGAACTTAGCTCCTTGAGCAATTGGTTCCGTGATAATGGTCTGATAGTTAACTGCTCCAAGACATATATCAGGGTGTTTGGCACAAGTCAGTGTCTGGCTAAAGCTAGTAGGCCTGTCTTAAAAATCTCAGAATCCTTTCTTCCGGTAAAAGATTTTTCTAAATACTTAGGAGTCATTTTTGATTCGAACTTGGACTGGCATGGACATATTGATACTATAGCTTTGAAATTTTCTTGTAGACTTGGACTCTTGAGTAGAATTAGAAAATATATTACCATTGATGTTTGTAAGCAATTGCACAATTCAATTGTTCAACCATTATACGAGTATTGCGATATTGTATGGTCTAATTCAAATAAAACATATTTGGATAGGCTGTTAAGATTACAAAAACGAGGTGCTCGTATTATCCTTAAGCGCAAGGTTGGAGAAGTAAGCTCTGAACAGCTCTTTAAGGAGTTAGGTTGGTTACCAGAGACTGAGAGATGGACTTTCCACAAATTTAGAAGCTAAAACACTTTAAATCCGTCAGGGACACAAATAAAATTCGAACGCGTACCAATCTTCTTTTATTCCACGGTGATTTACTCGAAGGATTACACGGTTCCTAAAAGGTAAAAGGAATTTGAAACAAAAGATGCAATGGAGAAAGGAAACGCTGAATTAAAAATGAACCAAACAATAGGAATAGTACTTACAAAATACGTTTTTCCCCGATAAAACGTAGAACACACTAAGAAACTTGAACTAACTCGACTTACTCAGAGTCGTCACTAAAAATGGCGAGCATAACATGTGTGGCTTAGTGGCGGCGGGCTGGGCCCTAAACTAGCGCGTGAAAACTGCCGAGCGCAACGACAAACTTGAGCTTACACAAATTTCTACAAGTTTTCCACTGCATAAATGGTTTCTGTCCATCCTACTTATCGAATTGTTTTTCTCGTAATTTGGATATACATAATTATAATACTAGGCGACGTAGTAATATTCATTTCAATAGGATTTCATCTAAATCAGGAAGTAGATCATTTTCTTATACAGCTGCTGAGCTTTTTAATGATTTACCAAATCATGTAAAGAATTCTGAATCGATAAGGAGTTTTACCTCAGACCATTGGTTTGCGAAATGATTGTATGTAATTTTAGTTGTATATATATTTAGCCTTCATACTTATTTATCTATTTAATTAATTTGATTTATTTATATGTATATTATAATTTATTCTGTTCACTGAGCTTCAATGTAGATTAGTGTCAACTTTTTTAATTCTATGTATAATAAATTTATCATTATTATTATTATTATTATTACTATTATTATTAACTTATTATAGTTATTATCATTACATTTGCTAAAATCGTAGTGTAAGAATGACCCCCTCCACGAAGCAATGAAACACAACGGCAACCAAAGAGGTTCCATCTCTCCCTACGTTGAATGCCATTACATATGTTATTGATCATTACAACAGGGAATCTTCCTTTCAGATATTGATGAGTGTGTTGAGGGATCACACAGCTGCAGTGTTGATGCTGTGTGTAACAATACTAAGGGATCGTACAAATGCACATGTCAACCACGATACCATGGAGATGGATTGACGTGCGAAGGTATAACATTCAAAGTATGAATAATATGAAAACATAGCTCGTGCGCTGATCCTGTCTGATCCAATTGAGCCAGCATGGAGATTATCAATCAAAACTGTCTCTACAACCAGGAGTGAGAGTTCAGTAAGAATTCCATTCCGAGATTTTGAATGGTGTTTTGTTCACTGTACACCTCTCTCCGTCCGACTTTGTTTTAAGTGATAAGTTAAGTAATAATATTAATAAACTTATTAAAATAGCTTCTCAAGCAACCAGCTCTTCTCCAAACTCCAATCAAATAGGTGACATATGCTGAGTAACTGCTCTTTGTCAGTTTTGAACTAATTGTACTTATCCTGGGCAGTATGCGCATCGAGGCATCTACGTATACATCATCAGACTAGGGTGTGTGGTTATATAAATAGAGCTCAGAAATTTAATTAATACCTTTGTAATTTTGTACTTCATCTTATTACAGGTCCTTTCCTTCATTCGTGTAAAGAAATTTACAAAAGTAAAAGGTAAATCAGAATTGATAACTCATTTATGCCCAAGGTGTGGGCTAGGTTTAAAATATAAACCATAATTCGGGCCAGAGAAAGCCGCACAGCCCAGCACGCTGTGAGTTCATTGAGAAAAGGGAGAAAAACTTGAGAAAAAGTGACGGCTCGGCTCGTGCGCCATGATCTCCAGCCAAATGTATTCCCATCTGGTCCTATCAACAAGTTTATAGGAACACAGTTATCACGCTACGTAATCAAAAGTAAATCAGTAAATATATGAAACAAATGATTAACAAGTACAAAAAAAACTGCTTTATCGTAAATGTTTTTGTTCTTGGGCCATCGTAATTTGATCAAAAATAAGAAAACGACGGCTTCACGATAGAAAAACCGAACATTTTAAGGCCCTTGCTAAAAATGAAAATACTTCAGCCATTGCCGACCACGTCAAGGCCACTGGACATAATATCAAGTGGGATCATTTTGATATTTTGGCAAAACAGAGGCAAAACAGACTACCTTTGTAAAATCAAAGGCAAAGAAAGGCAAAACAGACTACCATTGTAAAATCAAAGAGTCCTTACTTATTCAAGAACTTGAGCCAGCTTTCAACGTGAACGTCGTAAGTGAAAAGCTGTTGCTTTGTTAATCTGCACTAGTGTTATTGTTTATTGTTAAGTTTTTTGCTTAATCTTGGTTACAGTCCCCTAACCTTAGTTATATAAACATTGCTGTTTTCAATTTCAACGGTTACTTTTGAAAATGTATGTGGAGTACATACGAAACGTCAAGTCATAATCAAAATGTGCAAGTTTGATATGTTTATCACTGCTGTTTGTGTCTTATTTTTGATCAAAACTGTTTTACTTTAGGTCAAAGGAAAATAGAGCTTATCAACTTCTAGTGGATCATGGGAAGGTCAACGTTTACTGTCACATGACAGATGACCTTGAGGGCTGCGGGGGCGGTGGATGGACGATGGTAATGAAAATGGACGGCAGCAAGGTATCTTGTCTTTCGTCACTATTACTCGTGAGTCGAATGTTTTACTTAAAAGGGAAAATTTGACATGTGACTTCTTGACGAAAGGAGATATCATCTTTATGCGCTACATGTGGGGAATCTATCTCCTAATATGGTCATTATACCCACAAAGTGCAGTATTCAAAATTTCCATAACTTTTACCACCTCCATAACTGAACCTTCTACATTACGTCGCCCTAAAAAGATCATCATCGTCAGACGAGAGATTAAAGAGGATGAAGATACCTGTAAAATCGTAAAAAAAAAACTCTTTCAAGCTCTAAGTGGAAAGACCTAGAAAACGATCGAAATATCTTTGACATTATTTAAAACGTCAATGTGATAAAAATTTATTGAGCTACGGGTTGGTTCACAATATTCCCATTATCCATTATTCTAAAACTATTATGTATATTGTACTTCTTCTCCCTTCTGTCCTTGGATAATAACTTTTGGCAGGAATCCGTTTCCGCTCTTTTTTTCATGCATCGAGACTTTCTTTAATTTCCCTTCTAATAACATCTTGGACGACAGCAAATTTATGACTAAAATATTTACCATGCAGAAACCACTACTTCATGGATGGCACGTTGCTTTTTTTAATCTTCCATGCAAAGGCTGGCGTGAACTGAAGGCGGATGCCCCAAAGATTGGCTGCGTGAACTAAGTGTAGACTTGCAAAGTCATAAAGAACAAAGTCATAATCGATCTCAGACGATTTTTATTCCAACTCGGCTATACCTTTAACCTTTATATCTAACAACCTGAAAGAACGATCCAAAATAAGCAGTCGTGAAAAAGATGTTAGAGACTCAATGCCGAGGGCTTCTAATTCTCGTAAACTAAACAAATCACGTTCCCCAGTCTCGCTGTAGAATATTTCGAACCATTCTCCTCGTTTTAGTTGTTATCTGCATATGAATTAAATTATCATTCAACTCATTTCAACTTTTTCATCTACATAGTCAACCTTTCACTTCGATTCGCAACTCTGGAGTAACATGAGTGACTTCAATCCTCAAGGAGGGGAGACTGGGCTTGACTTTCAAGAGACCAAGCTACCGACCTACTGGAACACATCCTTCTCCAAGATCTGTCTAGGGATGAAGATTGGTAATCTGCCCAGGTTCATTCTCGTCAAAAAACAAGCCAGCTGTTTGTACTCACTGATCGCTGACGGACAATATCGTGACACGTCACTGGGTCGTAACACGTGGAAGTTCCTGATTGGCTCCGAGGCATCCTTGCAATTACATTGTAACAAGGAAGGGTTCAATCCCACTTCTAAGAAGAAAGGAAATGCCAAAGCTAGAATCGGTATCATTGCTAACGACAATAGCGGTTGCAAAACTTGTGATTCCAGAATTGGCTTTGGCACAGGTGGGTATGGAGACGACTCCAACAAGTGTGGGAACGAAGCAAAGCACAATTCAGATAATGAAGACAAACACATCAAAGCCATGGGGTACATCTTGGTTCAATGACAAGGAAATCGTTCTAATCTTCAATAAATAAACAAGAAGCCAGCCCTAAAGGACTTGTATATAAGTAGATGTAGCAAAAGAGGTCTGAAAAAGAAATTAAACACCGAGTCTGAACCTATCTAGTTTCGTCCTGGTAGGATTTCCACCTCCTTCTCCCCCAAAAAGTACAATTTTAGGCAGCTAAAAGCGCTTCGTTGTTAGTCCTGCAAGGAGGGGGGATAGGAAGATAAAAGAGGGGGTGGGAGAACAAAAGCCCTAATGGTAATTGAATAGATAGTGGCTTATACCTACTGTAATACACTCAGATATATCAGACCAATGGAATACGTATAAGTGGTGAACAGTCCACTATTTCGTGTGAAAAGGGGAAAAACTAATAGAATATCTTGCTGCGTTTGGTCCTTCAAGAATTTTTCTTTTATACTCTTTCCTTTCTTTAGAAATTTCTGAAAGTTGCCGAAGAAGCTTCTCCTTCTTTTCCTGGTTTACCCATCACACATCTTTGTTAGATAATCTTTCTCAAAGGCAGTCAGTTTAAAAAGAGTAAACGACTTTAACTTTTGTCTCCTTATATTCAAGTACTTAATGTTTTTCCCTCTTTGACTCGTTTGTTCTGTTCTCTGTCCAAGGAACCTTTTAAGAGATTCCTTGGACGGAGAACAGAACAAAACTTTTCAGCAACACGTAGTGAACAGCTATTGATCTCAGCAGTACTTTAAGCACAGTAGTCCAGTTTCAGCTTGAAAACCTTTCCTATTTCACAATTCAACAATACTTAGTTGTATTAATGTAAGCATTCTTAGATATAATTATTACACAAAAGATGACGCCCTGATAAGTAAGAACGATTCTTATATATAATTGTAAAACCTTTTCGTAGAAGGTCGCTATAACACTTAGTTAATATCTTTTTT